TGGAAAGTTGCTACTAAGGGTGCCACTTTACCAATGAGGGCAGAGCAGGAGACCTGGCAAAGAAAGGATGATAGGAATCTCTGGGCGTGGGGTGGGGAACATAATCACCGGCATGAAAAGGGTGGCAGTAGCTGTAAAACTGGTCCCCTCCACCTTCCCAGTGATTTCATCCTTTCCTGTTTTCCTGAGCTCTTGTTCTGGAGATTGCAGCCTTGCTGGTCTCTGGCATATATGTAATTTCTCATTAGTACTGATTCCTTCCTCTCATTCTCAAAATAGACACATGTTGTGCCTTTCCCCCAAAAGCACTTTTTTTTAATATTTGCCTACCTCTCAATTTACTGCGGTGCAGTTTCTGTCCCATGCAGCCTCCACCTCCGCTCCCTGACCTCCTGTTGAAATGGCCTTCTGAGTATCTAAGGTCAGATCTGACCCGACGGACAAACCCCTCCCTATTTGACTTTTACTCAGCATTCAGTCCCATTCATTCACCATTTTCTCCTTGTCTTCCTGGGCTTCTGAGATATAAGTCTTCAGGTCTTCTCTTATCTCACTAAGTGGTCTATTTCCCTTCCTTACTGACTTCCCTCTTTTCACTATTACTTAAAAGTCTCCGTCTTCAGGACTAAACAGTGCCACAGTCCCAGGCCAGGGTCTAAGGCTTGGCAAGCAAAGCTTGGGCTGGAGTTCATTGCTCCCTCAGCCCACTCAGTCTGATGCTTTTGTGTGAACATTTAACTGGACATTGTAGCCCATAGTATTTCTTTTTCACACTACCCTTCCTTCTTCTGCAACTCTGTTGATTTTCACATTTCCAACTATAACTTAAATGTTTTAGCTAAGTTCTAGATATCCTTTCATCTGCCATCTGGACTTTTCTTCTGGGGCTTCTTATGAGCACTCCAAATTTAACATTGTCCAAACAGAATTGTTTGCCTACATACTCTTATATTTTTAAATATGCCTACTTTTCTGTACTTTTCTCTTGGCTAATAATGCCACGAATTTATCCTCTCATTTAACTAAAATGCTCGAGATTATCTGTGTGTCTCCCTTTCTACAGCTGAGGTTTTCATTTGCTCTTTCAACATCAAGAAGACTAAGATTCTGACCACTGGGCCAACTGGCAGCACAATTAGAGATGGAGAAGAGATTGAAGTTGGTAACAGTTTCAGCTTGCTCATAGTCTTGGCTCCAGCAATCAGGAAATCAAAAGAGGAATTGAATGATATCAGTCTAGAGACTAAGGTGAGTCTGGCCCAGGCCATGTTCTTCTCAATTACTTGTTAAGTCAGAGAGCTGAGCAGTAAGTAAGGATGACAAAAGAATTTATGCCTTTGTTTACTCCTAAAGAGGAGTATTGAACATACCATGGCCGGCCAGAACAAATAGGTCTGTCTGGGAGAAGTTGAAACCAAGTTTCTCCTCGAAGGTAAAGATTTTTTAAGCTCCTTCTCACACACTTTGGGCACATGGCCACGAGGGACCAGTCCTTAGAGAAAGATATCATACTCGGAAGGGTGGAGGGGCAGCACAGGAAATGAAGAGCCCCGATGAGATGGATTGACACAGTAACTGGGGCAATGGGTTAAGTGTGTCAGAGTCAGTGAGACTTGCTCAGATGGGGCAGGGTTCAGAGCTACTGTCACTATGAGTCATGGACGACTTGGTGGCACATAACAACCACCACCACAACACTACTGGAAGAGTCTTCTAACTAGTTTCCCTATCTCCAGAATTTCTCCCCTCCAAAGCAACCTCTCCACTGTCAACAGGTTTATTCCTTTACACAGATCTGATCACAACTGCTCTTGTGTTAAAAGCCTGTTTTGGCTTCTAATTACCTATAAAATAAAGTCTAGATGCCCAAACATGGTGTATAAAACCTTTCATATCCTGACCTAACCCTGCCTTTCTAATCTCACCCTTTGTCACTGCTCCTGACATGTTCCTTGCTCTTAACCACATCAGACCATGGTGCAGCTTCTTAACCATGATTTGCTGTATTCTTTAATGTTTCTGAGCCTTTGATAGCACCTCCATTCCACTTCTGCCTCTTTACTTCACAAATCCCCATCCACTTGTCAAGATTCTGCTGACTTATCATCTCTTAAGACCGTCTTTTAGGAGGCTCTGACCCTCCTCATGCTTCTATAACACTAGTGGTATGCTGGTATAGATTGTCTAAGAGTTGCTGTGTATCTTCTTCTCACTACACTGTGGTTTTCTTAAGAGAAGGATTGTTGTTATTGTTATGTGCTGTTGAGTCCCTTGCAAGTCATAGCAACCCTATATACAACAGCCCTAAACTCTGCTCTATCCTGTGCCAATCGCACTGTCTCTGATACACCCATCCCAATTACCCCAGTCACTGAATCAATCCATCTCATAGAGGGTCATCCCCTCTTGTGACGTCCCTCCACCCTCCCAAGCATGATATCCCTCTCCAAGGACCTGACCCTCCTTACAACAAGTCCAGAGTATGTCAGACGAAGCCTCAGAATCCTTGCCTCCAAGGAGCTGACCATTTTAAAGCTCTCCAGGATGAACCTGTTTTCTTAGAAATTCATGGTGCATTCAATACTCTTCTCCAGCACCACAGCTCAAAGGCATCAATTCTCCTTCTATCTTCCCTAGTCATTGTCCAACTCTCTGATGCATAACAAATGATTGCAAAGACCATGGCTTGTATCAGGTGCACCTTAGTCTCCAGAGAAACACCACTGCTCTTCAATACCCTGGAGAGGTCCCTAAGAGCAGACTTTCTCATCACAATACGTCTTTTAATTTCCTGGCTGCTGAATGATTACACGTTGTTAATCTGTGTATCATCAAAAGCTTGCACAGTGTCTAGTACATGACAGATATTGAGTAAAAACAATATCAAGATACAAATGTCCTCCATAGTATTTTCAAGGCAGATGTCCAGGTCTATCTTCCAAAGTATTTCTTTATCTGAGGATTAAAACCAATTCTTTGGAGGGTGATTCTGCTCTGCAGACATGAGGGCTCTATGAGTCTGAATTCATAGGACAACAATATGTTGGGTAACATTCCTGAACACCATTTTTTGAAAGGGCCAATGATTTCTTTCAGCATAATGTGGTTTTTTTTCCTTCTTTTTATCTACCTTTTGGATTTCCCAAAATTAGCCAGTGAATGAGGCTAATGATGGGAAAATTTTCAGAACAGGGTGGATGAGGCCCCTATTGAAGATGTGACTATTGTCTTATTTTCAAATGTTAGTCTCTTGGAACGCAAAGATTGGTTTCTCAAGTTGTTATCTGTGTGTAGACTTTTGCAGATGGCAGAGTTCCTTAAGAAGCTCTGATGGCTTAGTGATAAGGAAACTCAGTTGCCAATTCAAAGGCATGCAGTTAGAATCTACCAGCTGCTTCATAGGCGAAAGATGGACAATCTCCTCCTGTGCAATTTACTACCTCTGAAAACTTGCCAGGGGGTCAACAATGGTTTGGTTCCTTAATTAGAACCAATGCTGAGCTTTGCTTAGAACCTAGATTCCACAGAACACTTTCATTGTTCAGCAGAGTCAGGGTTTCTGGTGTTAAAGCAGCCAAGTTTATGTTTCTCACCTCTAAATTCCTTCCTAACACCTCAGCAAGAGTGACTATTTCTGGGTATGAATAACAATGTGAAGGGTTTCAAATGCTCAGAAGTTTGGAAAATATGGTTATCTTGAAAGCCTGGTGAAGGGGGCATCATTTGTAAGCTTTGTGGATGGAAAATAGAGTTTGAAGCATGAGACCACTGCCATCCCCCTTAGTTTCACAGTATGTGCTGGGCGGGCCAGGCGGCATTCAAGGACTTCACGGAGTCCAGAATGCTTACTTTTCTTGAAACGTTATTGTTGTTAGTGCCAGTGCAGCCAGCTCCCACGCATGGTGACTCCACATACAACAGTACAAAATGTTGCCAGATCCTGTGCCAACTTGGCAGCGGTTGGCATGCTCTTTTGAAGCTGCCATTGTGTATTTTTAGTGCTTTTTCACAACCCAGGGTCTCATCTTCCAGCACAATGTTGTTAGCTGCTGCCCAGTCAATTCTGACTCATGGTGACCACACGTGTGCAGATTAGAGCGGCTCCATGGTGTTTTTCAGGCTGGAACCTTCCCGAAGCAAGATCGCCAGAACTTTTGAGGCGCTTCCTGGTGCCTTTGAACCCTGTAACTGTTCAGCTAGTTATGGGACACTGAACCTTTCTTCTTATACCCCCTTTACCATCCAGAAATTTCAAGCACTATATCAGTCAATATTCTTTCATGAATACTGGGTTTTCATTGGCTCATCCTTACCAGGTCTTCCTGGTCTTTGTCGGAAGCTCTCCTAAAACCTGTTCATTGTAGGTGATCCTGCTGGTATTTGGCAGCAACACTCAGATTGCTACAGTACCACAGACTTGAGCCGATGGCTATTTGTAGGCCTGTAACAGTAATTCAGGAATAGGGAATAAAGAGGTTGGTTCACATTTCTCCTCAAATACAACAACTTGGATATGATTAGAATCCAAACAGCAAATTGTCACTGAAAATGCAGTGATTGGCTAGTAATGGATGCTTGCAGAAAGAACAACCTTTTGGAGACATTTTTGTTAACTGTCAGCCTATCCTGAAAACTTCTGATGTCTAGGCAATTCTGACTCTCAGCGACCCATCCTAAGGCCTCTGTTTAGTTATGGGGTCCCTGAGCTCTGTCCTCAACACTGGAGTATTTGTGATCTGGCCCCAACAGAGGACCTTTCAGCTCCCTTCCAGGAGCGAGCTCAGAGTTGACGCGGGTGCCTCCCCGCAGCCACACTGCGACCCTAGGCGATGTCGGCGGAGCCGCAGCAGCCCCGGGTCAGGCTCTGGGGGCGGGGCCCCCGGCGGGAGCGTGCACGCCTCCGCCCACGTTGGGCCTCCCGGGGGCGGGGCGAGCCCCAATGGCGCTGACTCAGCAACGCGAGGGGGGAAGTTTTGTCCCTCCGCGGACCCCGTTTCTGTCCGCCGCAGCCTCCCCGCCGCCACCCAGCAGGTTTCCTTTTTCCGGCGTTCCGGGTGAGATAGGCAGGTCGGGCCGCCCAGGCAGCGATCCGCAGTGCTAGCCCGGCGCTCGCCCGAGGACCCTGAAACTACCGTTACTCTGTGGGGCAGTGCGGCGCCATGAACAGTCCGGGTAAGGTGCCACTTTCCCCCTGCCGGGGGTTCCCGGGGGCTCCGCTCAGCCTGCGGCCGGGCCGTGGAGAAGGGCGGGGGCTGCAGCCGGGGACCAGGGCGGGGATGGAGCTGGAGTGGCGCGGCCTGGAGGGAGACCGCATCCTGGAGGAGGCCGCAGGTCAAGGGCTTCGCCGCCGCCGCGCAGGCTGTGCTCGCAGTGTTAGAGCCCGGGCCCACGGACACCTGATAGGGGTTCTAATCCTGCTTGGCTTTCTCATAGGACTGAATACGGAGAAAGTGACTACTCTGATTCACAAACTGAATTCCGACCCTCAGTTCGTACTTGCCCAGAATGTCGGGACTACCCACGACCTGCTGGACATCTGTCTGAAGAGGGCCACGGTCCAGGGTGCTCAGCATGTGTTCCAGCACGTCGTGCCTCAGGAAGGCAAGCCGGTCACCAACCAGAAGAGCTCAGGTAAGAGCTTCGACGTGGGAGAGTGGGGCTTTGTAGTGAAAGAACTGGTAGTAAATTCCTAGAAAACAGAGGCAGAGCATTGCCCTAGTCACTTTGTTTTGGAGCTCTGTGGCTGGTTAGCATTCAGTTTAAGCACTGAGTGACAAATGCATAGACATTTGCTTGAGTGTAATTAAGCATCGTGCCCTGAAGTTAAATCATTGCAGTCTCTTGTCTCGCAAATACATACGCTTATGGTCACAAAACAGACCACACCAAAATGTTATTATCCTAGAGTCCTGCAGAATTGCCCTGAGAGCAATACAGAGTGTGTAATTTAGTTTTTTAAAAAAGAGATGCCGTTTTAATTGATAAAGGATGTCATAAAAATGTTTTAAATATGCTTTTTGGTCACAGTTTGTGATAGTCTCTGTGCCACATCTCCCGCCCTCAGTCTGTAAGAGGGGGGAACCCCAAATTACAAAATTTTATGTTTCCTGGTTAAAGAGTTCTTGTCTTGCTATCCACTATCTAGCATCTCAGTCAGGGGGGAAAAAAAAGCTATGGTGAAAGATTGGTCACTCTGGAAACTAAATAAGGAAGACAGTCTTATACTTAGGCTGAACTAAGAGAATTTTTCAAAGTCATCATCATTTGAAGAATCACTTCCAGTGTGTCTGTATTGACAAAAACAGATTGATGCTTGCTTTGGGCCATTTAAAACTCAGTGTGCACACTTAATATGAGCATGTTATGTTATATGTAAGTTGTTGTTGTGTACCATCGAGCCAAAACTGACCCATAGCTTACCCTCCAGCAGGTTTTCAGAGGCAGTGGATCACATGGGAGATTGTCCATCCTTCTCCTACATATGTGAGCTAGACTCCAGTAAAGTTGCAAGAATTACTATTTTGCTGTAATAGATGAGCTTGGGGTGGTGTGTTGACATGCCAGGCTACATATGAGTCAGTGATGTAGACTGCGGTGATCTCTGAGGGCATTTTGATGGCCTGGTGGTAAGGAATTGTGTTGCCACCCCAAAGACACATGTTAACAATTCACCCAGATCCCCTCTGCCAGAAATTATATTGTGTGTGGGGGGTGACAGTAGGTAAACCCAATAAAGATGAACTGTAAGGCCTTTAATGACTATCAAAAAACCTTATAAACAGTTTTTATTATAAAATTATCGTGTAGTTAAAATGTTTGAAAAATGCAAATAAGAAATTATTTAATCTCTGAGAAAACTCAGTGGTTACATTTTTGTGAATATAGTCTTTATTTTGTGCATGTGCATATTTACTTAATATGGGTTGGTTCTTTATACAGTGTTTGGTGACCCATTTACCTTTCTCAACAAGGCATTGTGAACATGTTTTTATATCAGTAAAAAAGTTACACCTAAAGATAAGGCGGAGTTTTTTCCTCTTTCTTTCACAAAGGTTATTTTGTTTTAAGGCTTTACAAAGGCTCTAAGTTACTCTTTGTTAATTTATTTTCAAACAAAATACAGTTACTTGGCAAAGATGAGACTGTGAAATCACCTCAGTCTGTGTTTGAGTATTTACAGAGATTGTTTGATAGAATCAGTTTAAAACAAAACAAAAAACCACCCTCACCTTCTTATAGCTGACCCTCTGATGGGTTTTCAGAGGCTATAAATCGTATAGGGGAAGATTGCTCATCTTTCTCCTGAGGAGGAGCTGGTGGATTTGAACTGCCTGGCTTTGGATTGGCAGCACAGCTCCCTATCCACTAGGCCACTGGAGTGCCTCATATTTTCTTAAAAGATTCCTAGAATATAACTTCATAAACGGAAATGCTGATGTCATTGTAAATTCACCTTTTAAAGATCATTTAAATCAATACAGGAAGTAGTGATGTTATAGTTATTATGATTATTCATTTATAAAACAAATAAAAGCTATTCTTATATATTTGAACCACGGCATAAAATTGTCAGAGACAATAAATAACATGTGGATATAAAACATTTCCATGTTTCAAACATACTACATGAAAAGATATATGCTTTATTACATGATTGAAAAGTGGATTTAATGATAACAAAGGCACTGTGATGGCAAGGTGCATGGGAGGAGTAAGATTAGGGTTTCGATGAAATGTGAAAGTAAAAAGTTAATAAATCCATTTATTGTGTTAACATGATTTTTAAAATTTATATACTTCTACATTGTTAAATTAAATATTAGTATAGAATACGTGCTCTTTTGTCTGTATCTTTACATGTTCTTCTGCTTAAAGAGAATTTTCCTTTGGTTAACTCATCATTGGGAGAATATTAGATTGATTCATGGTATGCTCCCCTGATAGTCAGTCACTTACTATGTATATTTTCAAAGTATTTGTTACGTGTTGCCAAACTGCCCTCAGATACTTTGTACTTATTTGGGTCCCACTGTATATGGCAACATTTCCTCAAATCCAGTATTAGGTTTTACTGATTCTTTTTTAAAAAATGTGTTTTTATCAACGATGTCTTGTAATGAACTTTGAAAGAAATGTCGATTTTTCCATTTGTATCTCTCTTAACCATTGAATGATTACTTATGTTTCCTGCTCATGTTTCACTGGTAGTGTTCCTTTTTTTCTGATGTGATTTTATTAGAGGGATTATAATGTAATTATGTATGTGATACATAAAGAGAGTTTTTAAATATATGAAGCATATCAAGCTTACATAGATATTAAAGATAGTAATGATGAGCTTTTAACGTTAAAACAAAATCTTCATGTACTTTCTGATTTACTCTTAAATTGCCCAAGATCTTATGATGGGTTCAACATCAGGGAATATACAGTTGGAGAAATGTTGTCTATGTGAACACACATCTTAATTTCTTGGTTTGCTTTCTTGTTTCAGGGCGTTGCTGGATCTTTTCTTGTCTGAATGTTATGAGACTTCCATTCATGAAAAAATTAAATATTGAAGAATTTGAGTTTAGTCAATCTTACCTGTTTTTCTGGGACAAGGTACGGGACTGATCTTGCAAGATTCCTTTTCTTTCACTACCAGCCTTATCAGAGATTGCCTCTTCATTTGTGGGCTTCTCCGGTTGTAATTTGCTCTGTCCTTATAGATGTTGTTGTTGCTCAGTGCTGTTGGATTTGTTCTGATACGTAGCAACCCTGTGTCCAATTGAATGAAACAGTGCCCACCTCATTTTCCTCTCAGTTGTTGCTGCAGTAGAGCCCATTGTTGTAGCCAGTGGATCAGTCCATCTCATTGAGGGTCTTTCTCTTTTTGCTGACCCTCTGCCACACGTGAAGTCCTTCGCCAGAGACTGATCTCTCCTCCTAATATGTTTAAAGTATGTCAGATGAAGTCTTGCCCTCTTTGCTTCTGAGAGCATTCTGGCTGTCTCATTAGATAGAATACCATTTATTCTGATTGCCAAAGTATCAAAAGTTGACTATTTCCAAAGGCAGGACTGCATTTGGTTAGTACTTGGCTACTTTTTGTGATGAGGTAATAAATCTGCCAACTCACTCAGCTTCTTGCTTGTTTTTGTAGTTTTAATAATTTCCCTTTCTAGTGCCTTTATTTAGGTTATCTGGTCTTCAAAGGACCTCATTCCCCTTCTAGGTAGTATTTATCTGAAAAACCCAAATAATTTTATCCTGTTTTTAATCTTTAAAGTATAATAAGTATATAAATTTTTGTTGATTTAAAACTCTTAAGGATATACCTTGTTTCAAATTAAAGCAATACTTTGTACAGAATAAACTATTGAGATAAACACATGGACATAAAAAAAATTGTAGATAGTCTCATGAAACTCAAAACTAACATTTAAAAACTGACTTTGGATAGAATATCAGTTGAGTTAGTTTGTTAACTGTTCCAAGACCCTTGTTCTGTTGATAATACCAACTAAACTATTGACTCTTCTTTTATTTAACTCTTCTTACTCTAGGTTGAACGCTGTTATTTCTTCTTGAATGCATTTGTGGACACAGCCCAGAAAAATGAACCTGAGGATGGAAGACTGGTGCAGTATTTGCTTATGAATCCTGCAAATGATGGTGGACAATGGGATATGCTTGTCAACATTGTTGGTAAGTTCTTTTGTTTAAAGGAACTGAAACTCAGCAGGATCCATCCAGGTTGTGTTGTTAGGTATAAGCCGTTTCATTTATTTTTATTACAGAGTAGAACTGGTCTTTCAGGAGGAGAACTTTTATTTCAATTCTGCTTTTACTCTCACTCAACTTTCAAATATCTTTCTTAAGTCAGAGATAGGCATAAAAAATTGTGACATTAGAGTGAAGAGGAAAGGGTAGTATTTCGTTGTGCTCTCTTCATAAAAAGCTTACTGCTGGTCCTTGATTGAAATCAGGAAAGCTATTCCAACTACAACTATCTGAAAATATCCTTATTCAAGAAAAAGTTTTCTTTTGGGAAGAAATAAGCATGTTGGGTACTTTACAAAATAAGGTAGATGGAAAGAGCAGAATTAATACTAAAATGGATACACTTAGTTTAAATCAACTGTTAGATAGTGTTACATGTAAGTTGTTACATTTTCTTACTTAGACCAATGAAAGCTATTTTTATTTTGTTTGTTTTTAAAGCAAAGGCTGTATTTCTAATGCTGGAATATCTTAAAACTTACTGAACACTGCAATTTCTATTTTCTTTTAGAAAAATATGGTGTTGTTCCTAAGAAATGTTTCCCTGAATCTTACACAACTGAGGCAACTAGAAGGATGAATGATATTCTGAATCACAAGGTACCATGTATGGAGCAGAGCAGTACACTGAATTTAGTACACCAACCTTCTTAGGGCTCGTTCAAAATTTTCCAAAGGGGTTTCTGGGCCCTTTATTGATACTGTTTGTCTGTAGGATAGCAACTGATGTTCATATTGCTCAAGAAAGTAATAAAACTAATACATAATTACTTTAAAAAATTGTGAGTGAGAATTATTTATTTGTGAAAATCTTCCACTTAATTTCTAGTGATTTCAGTGTTTTTTTTTACTTGGATTTAGGAAAGAAAGTTACAGTATATTATATGCCGTTCTGGTCTGTGAGACTAGAAGTGGGTTTGTCATCTCTAAAAGAAAGATGACATTTTTAACTAAACCACAAATTTCTTTCCTAGCTCTTAAAATTAGGTTACTTCCACCTAGGAAACTAGGGGAGGCTAAAAGATCTCTGATTTTGTGTGGATTCCATTCTGAGTGGGAACAAGATCCTCTAGCTCTGTAGTTAACATATGACTCAATTTTATTTTCAACATGATCTGTTCTGTCTTCATGATATTTTTAAGTGATCTGGTTAAAGGAAAAACACATTTATGAACTTGTGCTAGGTCCTGGTTAAGTTAGACTTTAAAATGTAACTAGCAGTAACCTACTCTTATTTACAATTGAATTTAAGTAAAATTGGAGTGCTAATTAAATTTCTACCATAGATGAGAGAATTCTGTATACGACTACGGAATCTGGTGCACAGTGGAGCAACCAAAGGAGAAATCTCGGCCACACAGGACAGCATGATGGAGGAGGTACTAATAACTTGTATTTTTGTGACTCGTCAGAACTCTCAGAATAGTTCCATATATTAAACTGAGAAGCATTGTCATTGTAAGGTTGAATTGAATTATTTCTTTTACAGATGAAAAACTTGAGGTATAAATTTCATTTTGCATTTTCCTATGTGACTTACGTGTAGGTCATCTGATGCTCAGAGTGGTGTTCGGTGCTGTTGACTCAGTTCTGATTGGTGCCCTCCCAGTGTACAGCAGAACAAAACACTGCTGGTCCCGTGCCTGCCTCACGGGGGCTGCTACACCTGAGCACATGTTCCAGTCATGGTATCAGCCTGTCTCATTGAAACTTTCGCCTTCGCTGACCCTCTTCTAAGCATGTAGTTTTCTAGAAACTGCCTGTCTGATAACATGCCCAAAGTACGTGAGCTTTTAAGAAATATTGATGTCCCTTCTTCCAAGACAGATTTGTTCATTTTTCTGGAAGTTCAGTGTTCTTCACCAGCACCACAGTTGAACCTCATCATTTTGTCTTCTGTCTCCTAGCTTTTGTATGTGTATGAGGTGATTGAAAAATACCATGGTGTGGGTCAAGCACACATTATCCTCAAGGTGACATCTTTGTTTTTTAACAAGTAAATGTGTTAAAGGCCTTGTGCAGCAGATTTGACCTATGTAGTGTGGCATTAGTAAATGGCTACAGCTTCAGTGGGCACGAATTATGGATCCAAGTAAAATTAAATCCCTTGACAATTTCAGTCTTTTCGTGATTTATTATGATATTACTCTTGGTCCAATTGTGAGAATTTCTGTTTATGTTGAAATATAATCCCTATTGAAGGATGTAGTCTTTGATCTTTATCAGTAAATTCCTCTTCACTTTAAGTAAGTAAGGTTATGTCATTTGGGCATCATAGGTTGTTAATGCGTCTTCTTCCAGTCTTGATGCTACTTCATTTAGTCCAGTTTCTCAGATTGTTTTCTGACCATACATATTGGAAAAATATGACTCTGAAGCTCACTGCTTTTGGTTTTAAATCACACAGTATTCCCTTGCGCTGTCTGAACTACTGTATAAAGTTCCATGTGAGCACAACCAAGTGTTCTGTAATTCCCATTCTTGGTAATGCTACTCATAATTTGTTATGATGGCCGCAGATACCTTTGCATATTCAACACAGGTTAGCATCTTTTCTTCTTTCTTTGCTATCAAACAAGATTCATTTGACATCAACTTGTTACATAGTCTTTTCTGAATCCATCTGGAATTTCTGGCAGTTCCTTGGCTCTTTATTGCTCCAATAGTTTTTAAGTTCTCTTTAGCAGAAATTTACTTTTGTTTAATATTGAAGATATTGTTTGATAGTTTCTGTGTACTCTACTGCATTACCTTTCTTTGGAAGGGGTGCAGATACTGACCTTCTAGTTGTGGAGCTGGGTATCTGTAGTCGGCATAGATGAGGGAGTCCTTCCAGCATGGCATCTGTTTATGGAGCACCTCAGTTGGTCTTCTGTGCATTCCTAGAGCTTGGTTTTGGCCAGTGCTTTCAGTTAGCCTGACTGCTGCCTTCAGTCCCCTGGCTTCTTGATCAAGCACTCCCCTCTTGAAGTAGTTGAACATTGACCATTTCTTCTTGGTACAGTGGCTCCGTGTGTTCTTTCTTCCTTCATTTGATGTTTCCTGTGTTATTTAATTTTTTGCCCATGGAATCCTACAGATTATATTGTTACTTGAGGCTTGAAATTTTTTTTATTTTTTTTTTCCAGTTCTTTCAGCTTGCTAAATGCTGAACATGGTTTTCTATTTTGGTTTCTAGCGCCAGGTGTTTTCACATTTCATTGTAATACTCTTTCTTTTTTTAAGCTGCACTTTGAAAATTTTCTATTTAGCTTTTCATCATTTTGCCTTGGTGCCTTGTCTTTCAAGGGTAGGTTTCAGATCCATATTTGTCTTTCTTTTCATGTTTTAATTGACTTTTTGCTTTTTTCACATATACCCTGTTGTCCTCTCAGTTTATCTGATCTTCAATCATTGGTGTTTGGTGCATCACATCTGTAACTGAAGTGGTCTTGTAATATAGGTGAGCTATACTCAGAGTTGAAATTTGACATTGTGTACTTCAAATTATACGATTTTCTTCAACTTGACCTTATAAACAGCAAATGCTGGTAAGAATGTGGAGAGAATAGAACTCTCATGTACTGCTGTTGGGACCATAAAATGGTGCAACCACTGTGGAGATACACATGCCCATGTTTACTGCAGCATTATTGACAGTAGCAAAGATTTCTATCTGCATGCTCTTTTTTATTGATAAATGTGACATTATTCCTCTTCAATTTGTCATTTCCAGCATAATAGATCATATGATTGTCCGGTTTAAAGTTGCCAGTTCCATTTCATTTAATCTCACCAGTACCAAGCATTTCCTTTCATTTTTGACAGCTTCAGCTTTTCATTTAGTGGTTTATATTGTCTGCTTCCCAGATCAGTGGACTATATAATGAATTTGTTCCTTTTATTAATTTTACAAATACTAGTTACCCAACAGAGTGTGGAAACTATAGAACAGTATCATTGATTTCACATGCAAGCAAGATTCTACTGAAGATTATCCAAAAATGACTGGAATAACACATCAGCAGAGAACTGCCGGAAGTCTAGGCTGGGTTTAGAAGGGTTCGTGGTACTAGGGATATTGTAGCTAATGTTAGATGGATCTTAGCTGAAAGCAGGGAATGCCAAAGAAATGTATATCTATGTTTCATTGACTATGCAAAGGCGTTTGACTGTGTGGATCATAACAAACTGTGGCTGACTCTGAGAAGAATGGGAATACCAGAACACTTGATCATGCTAATGAGAAACCTATACTGGGACCAAGAGGCAGTTGTCAGAACAGAGCAAGGGACCACTGTATGGTTCAAAATTGGGAAGGGCATACACCAGGGATGTATTCTGTCTCCATACCTTTTCAGCCTGTATGCAAAACAGATTATCTGGGAGGCTGGGCTCTATGAGGAGAAATGTGGAGTCAGGATTGGTGGAAGGTCTGTCAACAATCTGTGTTATGCAGATGACACAACCCTGCTTGCTGAAACTGAGGAGGACCTGAAATGCTTGCTGCAGAGCGTCAAACACTGCAGCCTCCAATATGGATTGAGGCTCAGTGTCAAGAAGACAAAGATTCTCACCACTGGGCCAATTGGCATCATCAGGATGGATGGTGAAGAGATTGAGATTGTTCACAGCTTCAGTTTGCTTGGCTCCACAGTCAACACTCTTGGCAGCAGTAGCCAGGAAATCAGAAGACGTATTGCCATGGTAAAGTCTGCTGTTAGGGACCTCTTCAAAGTACTGAAGAGCAATGGTGTCTCTTTGGAGACTAAGGTGCATCTGGTCCAGGCTATGGTCTTTGTTATTGCTTGTTATGCATCAGAGAGTTGGACAGTGACTATGGAGGGTAGAAGGAGAATTGATGCCTTTGAGCTGTGGTGCTGGAGAAGAGTATTGAGGGTACCATGGACTGCTAGGAAAACAAACAGATTCATCCTGGAAAGGGTCAAACCAGGCTGCTCCTTGGAGGCAAGGATTCTAGGGCTCCGTCTAACATACTTTGGACATGTTGCAAGGAGGGATGGGTCCTTGGAGAGGGACATCATGCTTCGTAGGGTGGAGGGACAGTGCAGAAGGGGAAGGCCCCCTATGAGGTGGATTGATTCAGTGACTGGAGTAATCAGGATGGGTGTATTGGAGAAGGCGCGATTGGCACAAGACAGTACAGAGTTTAGGGCTGTTGTACATAGGGTTGCTATGAGTCGCAAGCGACTTGACGGCCCATAACAACAACAACAACAAGTTACCTTCTATAAGCCTGATACTTAGGGTAAAATATAAGAGCAATATAATCTATGCTCTCAAGAAGCTTAATCTCCTGAGGCAAGGAAACATGTATAAAAAGCATTTAAATGTTCATAGATGAGGGAGTGACTAATTCATGATTTGAAGGCTTAATCGGCAAAATATTTGAGCCATTTCTTGAAAGAACAGTAGGAATTTATCAGTTAGATAACAGAGTAATTGTATATGTACTAGTGAATAAAGAGTAATTGTATATGTACTAGTGAATAAAGAGGGAGCCTTCAGAAAATCATGTGACTGAGCATACATTTTGTGGTTATGTGATTAGTACCAAATAAAGCTAAGAAGGCAGAGCTGTGAGGGATTTCAGGTTGATGCCGAAACTTCTTGGCTTTATTCTCTCTGCAGGCTACCAGTGGGTCTGTCTGTACGTGAAACCATTTTGGAGGACCTTTTAAAACATTAAATAACTATAAGGTGATGTAATTTATTATCAAAACAGTGAAGAATCTTCACTGCATTATAATTTCTGTAGCTTAGAAAGAATCTGCATAAAACTGAAATGGGTTTGAGAAAAGGGCAAACGAAACGTTTCTTTAGTTCAGCCTGTGGGCCCATTGGCAGGAATCAGGCAGTTGTCTCCTTTTGACGTCTTAGTGTGCAATTAAACCCCAAAAAGCCAGGCACATCCTGTCACATCTCACTGACTGCCTTATATGGTTTCTAGTTCTTTAAATCTTTATAGAAGTTGGCAGCTTTGTCTTTCACAACATATCTGGTGGATTTGAAGTGCCGACCTTTCAGGTAGTGTTAACCACTGAGACACCAGGGCTCATTTGTGTGTAATTACAATGGTCTTATTTTTTCTTTCACTGCCATTCCTTTACATTAGTGAGAGGCAGCATAGTGCAGTAGTGAAGGATGTGGCTTTGGAGGGATACTTTTAGAATTCTAATCTTCTCATTACTTAGCAACCATGTATTCTTGGACAAACTCCCTAAATTTTCAAGTTTCATTTTGTTCTTGTGTAACATTTTAGCCCAAGGTTTGACACTTAGTTGTACTTAAATATTTGTTGAGTAACTGAACAAACTGGTTTCATTTAACCAAATTTATTTAAATAATGTTTTTTTTTTCTTCTCCTATGTTTTTATTG